CACTCGCCTGGTGTCCATTGAGGAGTTCCTGAGGCAAGACCAAGAACCATCGTACTGCAGCAGGCAGCAGGTACGCTGGTGTGTCGATTTTCCAATGATTATCAGGAGGTGATCCTGCCATATGTGGTAGACTGAATGATTTTGCCAAAAGTCTAAATAGGGATTATTTTTTTATTCCTTTTTTGTTTTAGCACTAGTGGCTCATTATTGCAAAGTAGGTTGATGGTAAAGGGGGTACAAGAGAGGAGGAGAGACAAGCAGTAAAGAACCACAGGCGAATTGGAACCCAGGTCGGCCACATCCTCTGTAGACGGGTCGTGCACGCTAGAGACTGACACGGGAGTGGATTTTCACTCCTGTCCCGTCCCACTCCCACAGAAAAAAATTGTGTCCCGTCCCGATCCCGGGCCAGAGTAGAAATCTAAATCCTGTCCCATCCCACTCCTGGTGAAATTACTCCCACTCCCATTCAGACTGTCTCTCGCTCCTGCACCACTCCCATTCTTGTTTTTGAGCGCGGGTGAAAAACTCAGAGCGGAAGCACTGTTGGTTTTTGGGTCATGTAGTTTTTTTTTGACTCGCATTATAGTGTAGGCTTCAAGGAAAAAAACTACAAAATGGAGGCGCCAGTACTGGATTTTTTTTCTTTCTATTTTATTTTATTTTTTGGCATCGATCCTAGTTTCTTTTAGTTACTATTGGTTTGCTCCCACTCCCGTCTGCTCCCGTTAATGTTTAATCCTGTACCGTCCCAATCACATGATTGTTACTAATACTGACTACCATCCCACGGGAATCCCACGGGAATCCGTGACCCGTGGGATTCCCGAAAAAAATGTCAGTCTCTAGTGCACGCTAACCAATGCTTCGCCAAAGCAGCACACCGAATCGCAATGTTTTCTAACTAAACTTGTCATTGTGATTTTACTTCGATTTTCCTTTGCAGCCAAGCTTTCAGAAAAAAAAACAAAGGCTTTGCTGCGTGTCACCCCCCTTCTCCTGTCAGCCTACTGTCCAAGAAACGAGCCACTAGTGCCGTAAAAAAAAAAAAATTCTACTTGCATACATGGATCTCTACCTTTTTGAGTGGTGACTAACCCACTTCAAGCGTTTTACCTCCATCTGAAGGGCTGTAGGGAGAAATTTTGTGTCTTACTCATGTTAATTATAGTGTGATTAAAAATCAGCACCTCTGCGATTGAAAATTTTGTTTTTTTAAATTGCGATTATATTGAAAATGCAATTAATCACCCAGCCTAAGTATGTGGTTTGTTAAGAGGAGGACTTTGATTCTTAAAAACAACCTGATGCAGTCAAAACCTCATAATCCCTTTATCAATTTCATCCGCGGCAGCTTTTAAAGGTGGGAGTTGCAGGTGAACTCCTCCCAGCCAGTAAGTGGCGTACTCATCCTCTCTCCGTCTCTACCAGTTGCCATGTCCGCTAACTAGTTTTCACATTAGCAAACAGTTTACTTACCTGTTGTGGAGTAAAAAATGTTGAGGTATGTCTGTTTTTAGCCTCACATGCTACAACTGAAGGTCATGAGAGATAATAATGAGTTACACAGCTTCCTTCATGGCATGAAGTGGAAGACTGTTGTTTTCAGAAGATCCATCTGGCCAGTGAAAGATATATTAACCTAACAGGGAATGGCCTTCATAAACAAAAGTTGTTGTTGTGATTTCTGTAAGGTATAAATGTATGTACTGAGGTTGCCTCAGTCAGAGCTCTAGCTCTCCACCTGAGGACGTTAAATAAATTGCAAAAAATGCCTCTGTCTCAGCTTCCTAACTCCACACTGTTCAAATAGAAAGCAGCAACCTCTAATGTTGAAGAAGCCATTTTATTTTCCCCAACGCCTGAGCTCCATATCAACCTTCTATTCCTATTGGTATAGAATCCTTTTGATGCTGACAAACTAACCAGAAGTAAATATTTATATATTTTGAATCCATCAAAATTATAAATTACATTTTTATGTACAAATGTTTGATGCTTTATTCTTTCATTTGATTAACCGAGGTGCTGCTGTTTGCCTTCAGAGTTATAGCAGAGGGCTGGTGGAGCCTCACAGTGACTACCATGCCGACAACAGCCGCTCTGATCTGTCAGATATCCTGGAGGAAGAGGAGGAGGACCTGTACTCTGGAGAATCTCAGTCCAGGGGGTACACTGTAGGAGCCAACAGGGTAAATAAATGAATGCCTGCCTCTGTCTGCATGGTCTCTGCAGCTTCTGCTTCTTTTAGTGAGGTTCACTTCTAATTTCTGTTTCGTTATTCTTATTTTTTAATCATTTCTGTTGTTTTGTGTTTCCTCTCTTTTTTTCTTTTTTTTCCTTGCATGACTGAACGTATGTTTGTGCCTCGGATAACGTTGACTGTTTAACCCGAAACCTTTATCGCTCCGCTTCTGATTCCGTGAAACACAATGCAGTCACGCAGACTGGAGACACCAGACAGCGATGAAGACGTTCTGGAGAGGATCCTTAAGTTGCCTCCTCAGGTGCCACAGTGTAAACAGCTGTTCAGCATCGCCGAGGTGACGGAGGAGGAGGACAGCAGTCAGGAAGAGCTTTTACTCCACCGCAGCAAGCCTAGACCCGGGTCCATTCATCCCAGAGACTCTGAGCACCTCCATCATGCTCCCCTGCATCACTCGCACAGCCCCTCTCACCACCACCACTTCAACAGAGATCCCAAACCCCCAACCAAAGAGCCCTCTGTCAGGCAGGAAACGCCACAGGTTAAACCGAAGATGCAGCACAGGGTGCACTACGCCGACACTGTCAATTATCCTGAAGATGAAAGCGCGAGTTTGTATGAGAGTTCCAGCGGCAGGCAAGTCTCAGCCCACTGTCCACCCAAACGTACCCCCTCTATCAAAGAGAGAGCGCTGCTCAAAGGGCTAGGGGACCGCCTTAGAAGGGAGGCCATGCTCAGGAGCCAGATGGCTGCCGCCGCCGCCATGGAAAACCCCGACCATGGCCCTACCCCGCCAAGACCCTACCCAGTTAGCAAAACGGTACGAACTCTGAAGTCCCCCATTGGTCGTAGGATGGAGATCGACGTGGAGTACGGCACGGACAACGAAGAGCCGGAGGCTTACAGCCAAGGGGAGGTGGTGGTGGAGCAGATGAGCTCTGAGTGGTGGCTGGAGGGCGCTCAGGGGGAGCACAAAGCTGCTCACCGCAGAGAGCCGAAGGCCGAATCAGCGGTAAACGTAGCTGCAGTGGATGTGATCTGTGAAGTCCCCGCCCTACGCTCTCCCTGTAACGCCGTAGCACCTAACCTCTCTGTTCCCTTCAGCTCTGCTTTGAAACAGGCTTTAGGTTTCTGTTGAGTCCTTCCTTCTCTTCTGGTCGCTCAATTTCTGCTGCTTTCAAACTCTCCTCAGCATACATACTTAGGTTTTTCCTAACGAAAGAAATCCTTAATTTTTGTCAGCGTATGAAATATAAATTTTTTTTCTTCTTCATCTACATTTTTGTTTTTGTAGGTTTAAAATAGAAACACAGAAATGTAAACAATCAAATGCTTGGAAGTAGCATTTGTTTTGAAATAATGTAGTATATTGAGGATTACTGCCATGCTATCCTTACCTAAAACATTATTCCTTTGTTTATTTTGTTACACAAATAAATAGGACTCAATCGCCTTGCAGAATCCTTTTGAAATTGTCTTTAAATTCATGTTTTATTGTTTTTATGAGAAGAAACATTTAAATAGAGCTGATTCAGACCTCTTTATAGAAGTTTTTAATGAATTTGGTCTGTCTGTGTGCGTGTTCATTTATGTGTAGTTTTGGCAGCATAGTTTTGTTTAGCCATTGTTTATCACCGTTTTATGCTCTTTAACACAAGAGGTTAAAAGTTATACAAGCAGAAGCACTTACTGTCTGCCTGGAGGTCAGTATGATTGTCGGAATCGGCCTTTTCGTAGAGAATAGATGGGCGTAGTGATAGCAAGGCTTTGCTAACGTTAGCATCCTTCCAGGATTAACATCAACACAGAAAGAGAACCAAATCTGAGCTTTATGGACGGCGCTCTGTGCTCTGCTTTTCTTGCTCATTAAAAAAAAAGAAATAAATAAATGAAGCTCTCTAACTTCTCTGGATTTTCCTGCAGCTTTTAGCTGAAGGCACCGACGCACACATTTTTATTTGAAAAAGTCTGATTCTCGTACTCATTTAGGAAAATTGTTTCGAAAGTTCTGAAGTTGTCTTTCTGATTAACAAGGTCGGAGCGAATTAGCCTGCTTTAAGCCAGCTGGCCAGAAAAGCTCAGCAACGGGTTGGAGAGGGGCAGCGCTACAATATCCCGTGCTACATAATGCCGTTTTCTCTGCTGTCACATTGAACAAAACTGAAACCATAGGGAAGCTATGAAGTGTAACTTTTTACTGATCTTTACCTGCAGTAAACATCTCATCCCCAGTGCTGCCCCCCTCCCCCCTCTGTCTGGTTAACACCTTTTTTTGTGCTGAATGCTATTTTTTGTCTTTTTCCTCTTGAACAGGTGCCCAGCCAAATCCCTCCAGCTGTGGCGGCAGGCCCGTCCAGGGCTGGCCAGGCAGAGCCGTCCTCTAAAGCCATGAGCCCCCATGCCAGGCAGTACAAAGGTCAGAGGCTACTCCCTCCTTTTTGCCTTTGTCTCTTCCTGGTTTCAGTGGAAGCGTTTGTGGCGATCCTGACGCTCTCCTGGTTCCCCTCTCACATCAAGGTTGTCGGATTAGTACCTTGTGCATTAAGGGAGGGGTGGGAGGCGGGGGGTGTTAGGGAGAAGAAGGTGCCGCGGCTCTGGAGACGAAGGAGAGAGCCTGCTAAGCTGAGAACCAGCTTAAGCCAAAGTGGCTTGTCATGACAGGGGGAAGTGACAGACATTAAAATAGTAACCTCGATTAACCGACAAAGAAGCTGCCTGCTTTAAAGACATGAACGCCCCCCTCCTCCTCCTCCACATTGCCCCCCCTCACTTCTCGCTCAGTCTGAACCCCCGGATTGACCGATCCTAAAAATGTTTGGAGGCCCAGCGGGCGGCATGGCTGTGCAATGTTTGACACGTGTGCATATAGCAGAAGGGAGCAGAAAGAAGTTCCGGGCTTTTTGCTCAAAGATGTGTGAGGATGTGAAAGTGTGTGAAAGTCGTTTGTTAGTGTCTCTTGTTACAGATGGGTTGATTCTCCCAAATAAGGTGAGCACCTTAAGCTCAGCCGTAGCTTCTTGCACCTCTCTGTCCTTTGACTTCAGCTTTGAAAAGCCCAGAGCCACACTGATGTTTTATCCTCCTGTGTTGCCAAGACAAAAACACTCTTTTTGCACGATATGGGGCATGTTGAGCGATTAAAGGCGTTTTAACTGTACTGTGAAGGCAGCAGTTTGATTGCAAAGTTTGGGTCAAATGTTGTTTTTCTCCTTTGCTGGGCTGCAGATGAGGACTAAGTGCACGTTTGTCACAGGGCTCACACAGCTTAGTATCAGTGGTTTAGCTTGATTACCTGTTTTAAGGACAAGCACTGGGCCAACTTGGCTCATAGCAGCATTGAGGTTAGCGCTGGGGGGAGGTGCAGAAGAGCTTAAAATATCTCCAGGGTTTCGATGCAAACCAGCTAATGTGTTCACCAGGTTCTGCCTAATAGATTAGAACATCATCATTATCTCCTTTTATCTCCTCTTTCTTTCATCTTTTCTCCTTTTTTCTGTTTTTCCTTTCCTGTTCTACTTACATTGCAATGTCCATAAAATCTGTGATACTCCCTGCATGAATTATAATAAAGCTATTTATATGCATTAATCAAGCGGAACACTATGGCAATAGCCGTACTCCTCCACTTGTGAAAGCAAAATCTGTTGGGCTCTTTTTGGCATCAAGACAATTATTCCTATTGCCACATTGCCAGACAGGACACTGTAAAAAAAAAAAAAAAAGAAAAGAAAAAAAAAGAACATAATCGAAAGAGTGTGTTTTTGCACTAATTGAATGTAAAACATCAATTTGGTATATATTGTAATAGTAAAAAAGTCCTGGAGAAACATATTGGTCCACCTGATGAGATCATCCAGTCAGATTGGTTCAAGGTTTTCTAACTAAAGACACCCAGCGGCATGATTCACTCCTCCTGAACGAACATGTGGCAACCGTAGATATTGGTTGGCATTTTGTTGTGGACTCTACAGCAATCCCTCACACAAAGGATGCATGCAGCGACAGTAGTGAGGAAAAACTCCCTTATAACAGGAAGAAACCTCTAGCAGAACCAGACAGTGTGTGAGCGGCCTTCTGCTGAGGCCGACTGGGGTTCAAGGAGAGAGAAGCAGACACATAAAAGAAGCATAGAGGCACTGATCTATATAGATCAGTGCCTAAAGCAGAATGATGAAAAAGGGGTCCCTATGTCCTCCAGCAGTCTAAGCCTATAGCAGCATAACTATAGAGATAGCTCAGGATAACATGAACCACTCTAACTATAAGCTTTATCAAAAAGGAAAGTTTTAAGCCTAGCCTAAAAAATAGAAAGGTTGTCTGCTTCATGGACTAAAACTAGTAGTTGGTTCCACAGGAGAGGAGCCTGATAACTAAAGATCTGCCTCCCATTCTACTTTTAGAAATTCTAGGAACCACTAATAAACCTATATAAGGAATATAAAATGAATACAGAAAAAAAACTCAGATCTTATATTACTGCTTTACTACTCATACTACATCAGTATAGCATGGCATTGAAATGTTTAAATTGTTGACCCAGGTTTCTCTTTTTATTAGAAACACTATATAGATCTTTATTAGAAATAGGTGGACCTGTTTTCAGTTCAGTCTTGCTACTTTTGAACCTGTAGGCTGCAGAGGGAAGCTGCTTGGAATTTATTAAGATCTTTCAGGAATTAGAGTCGGTTTTTTGCAGCAGTGCAACCTTTTCAACTGTGCACCTTCATCCGATGACGCAAAATGAAAGAAATGATTGAAGAATACTATTCTATGTAATGAAGGATTTCACTGTTTTGAGTCACCCAAGAAAGTTAGCATTATAGCTGTGGTTCATCAAAATGGGGGTCTGATTCTATTAATCTTCTTTTTTTTTCTTAAATCTTGGGATAATTTTGTATCATTGGTTAATAATTGTTAATTAATGTGACTGACTTCCTCCAGGTGAATCACCAAAGATGAAAGGAGACGGTGGCGTGCGCCTCTTTGTGGCCCTTTTTCCATACGACCCTGTCACCATGTCTCCCAATCCTGATGCTGCGGAGGAGGAGCTGCCCTTTAATGAAGGACAGATCATCAAAGTAAGGACGCATCCTTGTTATTTTAAACTGTTTAAAAGAAGTCTGACCCAACATATTGCAAATTAGCTTATTTCACCCTCTTTCATGTAGGTTTATGGAGATAAAGACGCGGATGGGTTCTACCGGGGGGAGACGGGTGGCCGCCTGGGCTACGTTCCGTGTAACATGGTGTCTGAGATCCAGGTGGAGGATGAGGAGACCCAGCAGCAGCTATTGCAGCAAGGCTTCCTTTCCACAGCTACCTCCATGGAGAAGATCGGTATGTGAGAACGGGCAGAAAACCTGATTCCACACCAGTTGTATGATGATGTTAACTGTAAAACATTCCATAAAGTCCCTGCTTTCCATGTTGAAGTGGTAAGTGAAAATGGTTCCATAAATATTTCAGATTCAAGAAGAAAACGGGGCATAATGATCCCTCTTTGGCGTTACCTGGATTAGGATGTGTAGAAAAACATTTGGAAATAATTGTCTCTCTTACTGCAGTAGTAGAACCTCGCTATGAAGATGTTAGAATAATCCAGCTGCTCTACTACATTTACAGGTAGTCACTAAAATCCAATGTTTTTAAAGCAACACTAACCTTTGACCAAAGTGTTAGCTTAACTAGACGTCTAATGCCCTATTTACACTACCCTCTTGAAACCGTGCCGAGAAAGGTCCGAGCCCGGTAACAGAGATAACTGTTGAGTGTAAATGGCACGCAAACTGAACCAGACCGTGCCAGACACAACGGAACATCGCTAAACTAGTGCTAGTTCAACAGTAGAGCTCGGCGCAGCTCAGTTCTGGCTCAGTTCTCAGATAACAAAGAGTGCATGAGCAGACCGAGCCATCTCCTACAGTCTGCCTCCATAATCATGAAATTTAAGACATTCATAAAATACTAGCCTCCCTACCGTGCCACACAAACTCCAGCGATGAATCTGCTTAGCAGTGTGATGAACCTCAACGTCTGTTGTTGTTTCCTGCGTCTGTAAGCTCTGATTAGATTATTGTTTGTCGTATCCACTTCCCAAAAGCCGACTCTGTCAAATAAATTCACCAAACGCTGCTTTCTTCGCCTGACTCTCCACAAACAACGAAATATCACAATTATAACCAAGCATAACTTCCTGAAAGTTACGGGCGCCGCCATTCTGATTTGCTTGATTCCCTCCTTCAACCCGACTAGAGAGCAGTAATACCACAGATCGTCACTAGAAGGTGAGGAACTGTGCTAGCATGATGTGTAAACGGTCATAAGGAACCAAACTCTGCATAGTTAGCAGATCCAAACTCGGTCTGAACTCGACACGGGTCGGTTTCAGAGGGTAGTGTAAATGGGGCTTTAGAAACAGTTAA